GGTTGTTTTCGGAAAAGTATGCCTACAATTAGGAGTAGTGGTAGGTAGGTAGGTAGGTAGTGTGAGGTGAAATTGAGAGAAGTATATAGCTTTTAGCCTTTAAAAAAAAAAGTTCTTTTTTTTTTTTTTTGGGTGAAACTAAGCTACATTCTTCTCTCAAATATTTCATAATCTTTCAAATTCTTTCAGTTCACCTTTCCACTACCTACCTACCACGACTCCTTCAGTTCACCTTTCCACTACCTACCTACCACGACTCCTAAGGTTTATACAGACAGTGGACCCCTGCGAACATAGTTTTGTTCTCCCTCCAGCCATCAGAGGGGATGCATGTTGCCCCCCGCCCCAACCATGGTGGTCAAGGATGGGGTGGGGCCTCCGGTGGGGGTCTTTGCGCCTGATGCAAAGACCGATCATTTTGCCAGGAGCTGCGTCTCCCTTTTCTTCATCCCCCCCCACCAACTGAATAACAGGGCCAACACTCTCCCACACACCACACACAAACCACTCGCACTCACACTCACACCCATGTGACCCTGAGGCAAAGGTTGTTCAGTTTATTTTTCTGCATAACTTTTTTTTCCAGCATTTTTGGGACTTTTTTTTTTTTTTTTGGGACTTTCCCTGGTCCTTGCAAGGCCGGGCCGGCCGGGAAAACAGGGTGACCCGGGCTGCCCGGCTGGTAGCCTAGTAAGACTTTTTCACAAAATTTGACGTAGTCATTTGACTTATGCCACAGGTGCTTTCTTGGGCAAATGATTTTTTTTTTCTACATAATATGAACTTGTTAAATTTGTTTTTAACTTGGGTGTTACTCTCTTTCCGGCAATCATTCCATGTACAGGAGAGGAGGCAGGTCCAGCACCACAAATTGTGACCAGGCAAGATGGTAAATGGCAGGATTCTGGGCTGGCGCCAACAGACTCTCTAGTTTACGATGCTGTTGTGTGTGGGGGTACCCTAGGCATCTTCTTTGCGACCGCTCTCGCCTTGAAAGGAAAGAAGGTGGCCATTGTTGAAAGGCTCCAACTGAGAGGGGTGAGTGAGGGCAATCAGCAGAATATGGTTTCTTCTCTTTCTGTTTCAAGTGCTCAAAATCACGCCATAGATAAGTAATAAGATAGTGGCATGTATAAGAAAGATTTCTCGTAAGATGGCTAAAAATTTAGTAAAAAATCATTGTCAAACATGGCTATCTTCTCTTTTTTGGTCGGCGGCTGGTCAAATACGAAGGCCCTTTAGGGCCCAAATTTCCCATGGGGAAAAAAAAATAAAAAGTGGGCCCAGTGCCCAATGTGTTGATCATGAAACACGAGTTACCTACTTGAATATCAAATCTCTGTTGTTGTTTTTTTTTCCAGAGAATCGAATCGCAAATCGCAGAGTCAGGTGAAGTGGAGCTTTTGTGTGATGTGACAACATGTGTCATTCATCGTCTCTTTAGGCTATAGCCCTTCCAAATGGCCCAAAAATTGGACCTTGACTCCTTGGCTCGATACTACTTAAACCACCAGTACATGCCATACATCGGCCGCGGGCCTGTTTGAGAGGGCGAAACGCCACACCCCGGCGGCCGATTTATTTTATGGATGGTGACGAACATCCACATCGCCAGTCTGTTCTTCACGCTTCGGCGCTCTGCGCCGCTTTCGTACCTGTCGGCTATTATTGAAGATGTTTCGAGCTGACGCGCTCGGGGGACTACGCTAAAATTCTTCGTCTCTTTCTGTCTACTTCTTCTTCTCGTTCTTCTTCTTCTTCTTCTTCTTCTTCTTCTTCTTCTTCTTCTCTCCCGTTGCTTTGGCCTTATGTGTTTATCACATGGCTTGCTATGTTGCTTGAGTTTTACTCTACTACTACTACTACTGGGGCCATGTACTAGCGGTTTAAGTGACCATCAACTCCAAGCCTCTTTTTTTTTTTTTTTTGAAAAAGGATTAATCTTTATTGATACCAAAGCCGGGAACCGGGCCCAGCGTCCCTTACAAGAGTCGCCGCAGCGAGGAATGTTTACCCTCAGTAACTTCAATCTGACATCTTTGTGGTGGTTTGGCTCAAGGGACTCAGAACAAAAAACATGTGATGGAATCGTCAGCTGGTGATTTCCCGCATGGCGTAAGCTGGCATAATGGCATTCATTGTGCCTTGCTCCACTGCTCACCAAATGTGCAAAAGGAGAATGAATCTCTCTCTTGAACACAGAAATATACACCGCCATTTTTTTTGGTCTTTTGTGCATGTGCTGAGTACTGGAGTGAGGCCCATTGAATAGCCTGGAATCCGGAAAAGGTAGGTGGATAGATGCAGGCATTGCAGAGTGACTCCACAGCCTCTGTTTTTTTTAACAAAAAAAAAAGGTAGGTGGATAGATGCGAGCTAGGCTGTGGAGGACCCGGTTTCCAGCAGGTACTGCTCCCCACCAATAGATGGAGCCTCTGTTTTTTTTTTTTAACAAAAAAAAAAAAAAGAGTGACTCTGCAGCATATAAATTTCATAAGGACAATCCCGAATCGGAAAAGAAGAAGAAGAAGAAGAAGAAGAAGAAGGAACGAAAAGAATAGGAAGAACCACAAAAGAAACTAATCACAAATCACAAGCGTGTTGTGTTCAAAACTTCAAATTGAAAACAAGCAGGGCAATAAGCAGGAGGGACAATTATGTGATCAGACATGGCATTGCTTAGAAACAATGATGATGTCAAAGCTTCTGTCTTTTTATGAGATTTCAGAGTCACAGTCGTTAGAAACCGCACACACAAGTTTGCTTTCTTCCTCAAAATCGCACAGTTCCATGAGATTTCAGAGTCACAGTCGTTAGAAACCGCACACACACCACAGCCTCGTGCAATAAATCACGGTATCGCAGTGGGACTGTACACTAAGTGTGTTTGCTGTTTCCTTGTTTTTGGCGCTGCCGGACTTGATCCCGTGACCTGTAGTGTGTTTATGGTGTTTGACTGTTTTTGAGGTTTATTGGGCTTGAACCTTGAACCTGTTGCTAGTAGTCTCTACTTCGTAGTCTTAGGCCTTTCAGACCTTGCTGTTTTGTGCTTTTCTGCCGTTCAGGAAACTGGTAGGCCCGTAGGTCTTTCCTTTGTGTGTCCTAGCCTTGGGTTCCCCTTAGTCTAGGTTTCCATCTAGATGCATGTTGGTAGATCTTGACTGTTTCGCCGTAGATGTTTGCTGTTCGGACCGTCAGATAGGTCTGTAGGTGGCTGCTGTGTTGTAAGTCTAGGGAAGTCAGGTAGAAGTAGGCAGATGCCAACGAGTTTGGGGTTCTTTTCGTTGCTTTTTTTTTCATGGTCTTGGTGGAGGTCGCGTTGCTTTCCTGCTGCGCTATTGTGCGCATGTATGCAGGGCATCTTCTCCACATGCTGCTGGTGGCCATAGCCGTCCTGGCCAGCTCCATTGGTGACAGCGCTGATGAGCGCTTCCTCATATTTGTGTACTTGTTGGGGTTTTGTCAGCTGCCACCGAAGCTGCACTTTCAGTGATTCTTCTTCGACGTGGCAGATCTTCATCTTCATCGAGTTGCTGTTCTTCTTCATTATCTCGGAGCTGCACTCCCCTGCTGAGTGGACACTTCATCTGCAGTGGGCTTCTTGAGTGGTGCAGACAGGGGTGTTAGATTTAGGAGGGTGTGTGGCGATTGGCAGGCTCAATAGTTTGGGTGCTTGCAAGCACCATAGCTAGAGCTTGAGGAAGAGGGAGGAAGAAGAAGACTCCCGGATACTTCAATGAAACCTTGTAAATAATTGGTCCGTGGGTGTTGATAACGTGGTTGGGATCCTTGGAAATTCGTGCTCTTGATTGACTTGGGGAGGGACGGTAATTACAATTGATTTTCATTTCAATTCTATTTTCGGTATTTGTGTGCTTCCACTGTGTATTCTTATCATCTGGTGTGGTGTGGATTGCTCCCTCCAAAGGTCACTTGTCATTGCACATGTGTAAGGGAACGTGTGGATGCCATGTTGGATCTCATTTCAATCAGGCACATAACACTCATGCATAGGCTGCCGACACGGCGTTAGGGTGAGGGACTACCACTCACACACTGAGTGCGTGTGCGGCCAGGGGGCAAGGATGTACATAAGGATCCACATAGACCTGACCTGGGGTCCACCTGAGAGGGTGCCCAGCAGAGACTAGCCCCTGCGCAGTCCTGGGTCCTCCGGAACGACTACGCGCGCCTCCCCTTGGGTTGCAGGAGGCCATGGGGGGGGATGGCTCCAGGAGGGGCAGGCTCAGTGGGGATGAGTGTGGGAGGAGTGAAGGGCAGTGAAGGGCTCACCCCCATCCTAGCAGGAGCGACTTTCATCCGCACAGCATCTGGTGACTGTGGTGCACTGGCCTCCTGACTGGGTGCCTCAGGGATGCGGGACCCTGAGTTTGAGGGGGGTGCACCCTGGTAGCTCCGGTCCAGGCTGATACTCCCCGGGGTGTGTTGCAGAGGTCTCTCTTGTTCCCCCTCTCTGAGAACTCCGATCTTGAGTGATTCCTGAGTGAGTGGGTGGGTCTGCTGTGCCAACAGGTGGGCTGAACCCGGCGTGTGAAGCCCCCTGCTGGACTTCCTCCCTGGGTCATAATCCCAACACCTCCACAACCTTAAAAAAAAAAAAAAAAAAAAATCTCACACACGCAACTTGAAGGTTTAGGGGTTGCAGCTATGATGGGCTGGCGCCACAAATATATGCCATATACTTGTAAACTTTGAAATAGCAGGTCGAGATCCCGCCCTTGAAACTTCAATGGAGCTTTCCACAACACAGACCCTGCCACTTGTTGGTACAAGATGCACCCTGAGTTGAATGTAATCTTCCTGTATGGCAGACTCTACTACACAACCATGTCTCCTCTCCTCTTGCTCTCGCCAAGGCTCTCTCCCTGAACATCCAAGTGATGCTCCGACTCGATGGCTCACTCTCCACCAAACAAAAGCTCTCTCCTACGACCATCAGCACGATCCCACTCCAAAAGAAAGTGAACACGGTTCTGACTGCTACGGGGTTCCATGTATGACTATAATTAGGAGTAGTGGTAGGTAGGTAGTGTGAGGTGAAATTGAGAGAAGAATGTAGCTTTTAAAAAAAAAAAAAAAACAAAAAAAAAAAAAACCATGGCTACGCCGGACCCGGACCTGGACATTTCCCGACATGGAACCGGACCCGTGTCCGGTAGTTTCCGGACGTCTGGAATTCCGGACATTTCTGGACCTCTGGACATGGGGCGATCAGGACAGTCCGGATGTCTGGACAGGTCCGGAAATGTCCGGACCATAAAAAATAAAAATAAAAAAAATCTTAAAACAAAGTATGTTATTCAGAATAACAATGCAAACCACTTTTGCCTCAGAGTCATGTCAGAATTCCTAACCAAACCTGAGTTAAAAGTAAAAAACTATAAAAAATCTTAAAAAAAGACTTAAAAAACTAATAAAGCCTATTAAAAGGTAATGAATTATTAATAATTAAAAAATGGGGTTGTCTAATAAATTGTTATAGAGAGAGAGCATGTCCGCTCCCCCCAAAAAAAAGCATAAATGGCCCTGAAAAACCCCCGAAACAATTTTGGGGGCTTGGCTCCTCAATGGGGAAGGGTCGTGGACCGTTTTTTTTTTTTTCCCCCCCTCGAAAGTTGGCAGATCCGGACCTTCCAGACCGGACGTCTGGAGTCCGGACTGGATCCAGACCGTCTGGACGGCGGTCCGGACGTCCGGATCGTAGCCATGGAAAAAACAGAAACAACAGCTACTAGATGGCAGCACGATTGCCCTACTACTTCAGCTATGGCTGTCTTCTTCACCACACAGTACACTGCTTGATTTCATGAACCACCACCGCACCGAATGAGGGCATACTCACACTAGCACGTACAATCGCAAATTATATGTGAGCCAATTTGCAATTATACGACACTTCCCAGTCACACAGCACACCCGTATATGTCACAAAACAGAAAGGACACAGTCTCTACCTGCTCTAGGAATGCGATTATGTGGGCTGAGGGGTCACACAGCACGATGCATAAAAAAATATTAAAATCCATCCCTTTTTCCTTTCTCTAAGTTTTTTTTTTCTTTTTTTTTCCTTACGAGAGATGCCCACCAAACGTCGAATTCTTTTTTTTCCAGTGTTACAATCCTGGTCAATTTCGAAGTTGTGCAAAGGACAACGCAAAGCAGCTATGTCACTGCTCATTAGGCCGCCATGCCCATCTCTGCCCCGAGCTTCCTTGGTGCTGCACTACCCCAACTGGGGCCTTCCCGATGCAGCGCCTATCAAGGTGATGAAGATGGTATAGCCAGGTAGGTACCTTGCCACTCTCCTCCTTGGTCCTCTTCTCCCTCCTTGTTACATGCCCAGTTGGGCGATGTACATATATAACCGAGGATCCGCAGTGTGATAAAAAGGACTGAATGGACAATGCAGTGCTAGTGAAATCTCAACAAGCAGTGTACATCCTGATACATACAAAAATGGTGTTTTATAGCGCAGTGGAAGATTTAGATACAAGTCCTGACCTGACCGGGACTGACCTCTCTTACGTAGTACAAGGTAGCGCAGCAGAATGCTAGAATACCAATGACGAGCCCAATCAATGTTGCAATGCAGACTAAACACACATCATCTTCATCACAAGGTGTGAAGGAGGCCTGGCGCTACACACAGGAAGAATGCGCCAGGTCCTGATCATGCACAGACGAAGAGGAGGGGAACAGACAAAGAAGAGGAGGGGGGAGATGGGAAAGTCGTCAACACCAAGTCTTCGTTACAAGTCCCAAATAATCCCTCGTCAAAATGTCTGAAGCCCAACATTGGGTCTGGATCCAAATGTCACCAAGCTCTCTCTCTCTCTCGTAGTCTGCTGATGCAGTGAAGTCAGATAGCGAGAGGCTGAGAGGGAGATGGTGGACTGAGAAGAGGAAGACGAAGAACTCTCTCTCTCTCTCTCTCTCTCTCTCTCTCTCTCTCTCTCTCT